CAGGTTTATCTGATCAGAGTCACGGAGGAAAACATGGCCTGAGCGCAGTGTAAAAAAAATCACACGCTCCAAACACATCTCTGCCCTCCCCGTCCCCGCAAGGCACCCGAAAAGCCGCAAAATGTGATTAAAAATCCCTCTGATGTGCTCTGCGCTGGATGTTTGCCCCAGCCACGGTGAGGAAGGAGAGGAGCGGAGCAGCACGGGGATGTCGGGGTCACAATGGGAGGCGACAAAAACCACGGGAGAGTCCCCGCAGAGGCACATCAGCACCTGGGGGTGATGTCTGGGGGTTTGGGGTGGGATTGGCGCCGGCAGGTCCGGAGAAAAGGATCCCGGAGCTGGGATGCGCCGCAGCTCGGGGCGGGATGCGCAGGGAAGGGGCAGAGGTGCAGCTGTAGGAGCACATCCCGTTTGCTCAGGGGTGATCCCAGGTTTGCCAGGGAAGGGCAAAACTGCAAAAAACGGGCGTGGAGAAAGGGGATTTTGGAATCTGGGGTGGAATATTAAAGCTCAGCCCGTTCCATCCCTTTGTCATGTCCAGAGACACCTTCCACCATCCCAGGCTGCTCCAAGCCCTGTCCAACCTGGCCTGGGACACTGCCAGGATCCAGGGCCAGCCACTGCTGCTCTGGGCAGGAGGAGGGGTTTTCATGTCCATCCATCCATCCATCCATCCATCCATCCATCCATCCATCCATCCATCCATCCCCTGCTGTGGACCACAGAAAATGAATAGGACAAAGAGCATCAAATTCACCCTGAAAAGGACAAAGAGCATCAAACGCATCCAGAGAAGGACAAAGAACATGAAAACGCCTCCAAAACAGAAAAAGTGGCACCAGAACACATCTTGAGAGGGGCAGAGAGCACCAAAACTCATCCTGAGAAGGACAAGGAGCACAAAAACTCATCCTGGGCAAGGCAGAGACCACTAAAACACATCCTGATCATGGCAGAGGCACCAAACACTTCCCGAGCAGGGCAGAGGGCACCAAAACTCATCCTGAGAAGGACAAAGAGCACCAAAACTCATCCTGAGAAGGACAAAGAGCACAAAAACTGATCCTGAGCTGGGCAGAGAGCACCAAAGCTCATCCTGAGCAGGACAATGAGCACAAAAACTCATCCTGAGAAGGACAAGGAACACCAAAACTCATCCTGAGAAGGACAAGGAACACCAAAATTCATCCTGAGCTGGGCAGAGAGCACCAAAACTCATCCTGAGAAGGACAAAGAGCACCAAAACTCATCCTGAGAAGGACAATGAGCACAAAAACTCATCCTGAGCTGGGCAGAGGGCACCAAAACTCATCCTGAGCAGGACAAAGAGCACAAAAACTCATCCTGAAAAGGACAAGGAGCACCAAAACTCATCCTGAGCTGGGCAGAGGCACCGAACACCTCCCGAGCAGACAAAGCTCAGCAAACCCGTGCTGCTGTGCCAGGCGGGAGCGGGCGGCAGGGCAGAGGGCAGTGCCCATCCCCACATCACAGACCTGCTGCTCCCACCAGCAGCACGGGGAGATTTCCCTGCACGCCAGACAAGAAATGAGTCAGGTCTGCTCGGAGGCAAGGGCTGAATCCCAATCTGCAGCTGCTCCAGCCAGGATGAGGTTAATGGCTCTGCTGGGAGTAACCCAAAACTCAGCAGGGCCACCTCCAGCTCCCTGACTTTGGGAGGTCTCGATTTTGGGGGCAGAAAATGCCCTGCAGCCTCACCATCTCTGGAAAATGGTGCAGCAGGATGCCACCAGCGCATTCCTGAGGCAGGGACACATTCCTGAGGCAGGGACACATTCCTGAGGCAGGGACACATTCCTGAGGCAGGGACACATTCCCAGCACTCTGGATCAGGCCAGGAAGGCACAGAGCTGCAGGAAAAAAGCGCTCCATCCCCTTTTCCCAGCAGGTTGCTGTCACTTTGTCCTCAGCGCCGAGCTCACACCATCCTGAGCCCCAACCTAACCCTCCTTCCTCCGCCCTCTTGTCCAATTCCCCATCCACTTTCAGCAGCCAAGATGGCGCCAGCCCCGTGAGGGGACCCGCCATCTTGGGCCAATTGGCGCCAAATTTTGACAAATTTCACCAAATTTCGCCTTGCCGCTGTGAAACAGCGCCCAAAACCTCCCTTCTCCTCTCTCCCTTCCTGTCCCAGGGCTGTCCCAGCTCCCTGGAGGTGTCCCAGCTGATTTTTCATTTCCATGGCATCCTCTGCCCTCCCCAGGACACTCCAAGGCAGACCCAGGATCCCCAGTCCCGGTTGCTGCCCTGGAATTCCAGCCCTGGAATTAATTCTCAGCTCATTTAGTTGCTTCTTTCCAAACTCCTTAGAAGATTTATGAACCTGTTTTTCCAGGGATTCTCCATCTTGTCCCATTCCCGTACCAGCCTTCCTGAAAAAGCCATGCAGAAGCTGGAGGTGCAACAGTGGCTGCTGCCAATTTAAAAGCTTAAACAGAATGTTTTTAATTTTTAAAAAAATTTTCCTGCAGCCCCTTCAGCTCCTTCATGTTCCCAGCAGGTCTTAAAAGTGTCCAAAATGACTTTGGATCCTGATCCTCAGGATCTGGCACAAGGAATGTTCTGCCACGTGAGTTTTTTTTAATCTTCCCCAAATGATTTTGGAGGATGAGGGATGAGAAATAATCCAAAGAGGAGAGAAAAGATCTCACCCAGTTTTCCAAAGGATCTATGAAGAAAGAATTCCCAAGTGGGGAAATGGGTTTTTAGCCCTCCACCCACCTCATGGCACAAACAGGACACAGGAATGCCAGGACAACTCACAATTCCAGGGATCTCTGTGGTGACAGCGACAGGGACAGATGGAAACACCAAAGACACCCTCAGACGGTAATTAATTAACCCCTCACTCATTAATTACAGCATCTAAAGAGCTGCTGGGTCATCAGGAACATCGGGGCAGACCCAAGGAACAGGGAGATGAACAGCTGCTGGGAAATCTGAGATGGAATTCTGAGATGGAGTTCTGAGATGAGAGCACCACAGGGAGACAATTCCAACCTTTCCAGCCTGGATTGGCACCAGAAAAAACCCTTGGGAGTGGAGGATGAGCTGCAGGTTCTGTGTCCCAGCAGGACCCAGGGGTTGCCAGGAGAACTCAGAATTCCAAGGATCTCCCAGCAGTGCCAGCATCAGGAACAACCCTTGGCTGGGAATGAGTTTTTCTGGCAAAGAACAACCCGCAAGCTGAATTTGAAAATGTGAAAAATCAGCTTGAGAGGGAAAGCAAAGCAACCCCCACGTGTTTGCTTTGCTCCTCTGCCTCTGGCATTTTTGGGAAACAACTCTGGGAGGGAACCCACAGCAAAGTGGAAAATTTAATGCCCAAAAGGCTGTTGCAAGAGAAAGATTCCTATTCAAACCCCAGCACAATTACGCCCCAAAACACACAATTATTCATCGTGAACTACCACACAAAGGCCATTTCCACTACAAGAAAATTCCTTTTTTTCATTTTTTTAATTCAAAGAAAAAAAAAGTATTTTAATAAATACTGCAGAAACATTAACCAAACATACAAAGTGACTTCAACAATTAAAAAAAAAAAAAGTAATGAATGTCCTGCTTTATAACAGTTATAACTTATTTTTCCACAATATTTAAATACAGAAAGAAGCACTTACCAGCTATTTTGTAATACTGCCCTAAGAGCACTGTTGCATCAGTTAAAAGCTTATTATGGTCCTTTTTTATTTGTGGGAAATAACCAGAATGGGAGTGAGATTTGTCTTCTTTTCTCAGATGAAACAAAGTGCTGGGAACACACAGAACTGAGATTTAATTATGAGTTCATCTTTACCTTTGCACGAGCGAACAGAGCTTTTAAACACTTCAAAAACGAAGCATCACCATTGGGAATGAAATGCTTGTCCTCCACAAGCACAAACCAGCCTGCTCAGAGCTTTGTCTCCTTCCTCTGGGAGAAGTTTGGCGAGTCAGGAAGAGTTGCAAACCATTGGAAAAAGGCTGATTTAATTCAGTGTAACAACAGCAAAAAGGGATTGGACTGAACCAGTTCACCCCATTTCAGGATTGGGGGCTGGATACTTTCGTGTTAATCCTAAAACTAAGGGCAGTATCCAGTTCCCACTGGGGACCCCTTAAGGCCTCACAGTTCTTCAGACCCCGTTTCCTCCCCAAAACGAGGAGCACCACAAAAGGCTCTGCTGGCTCATTTGCAGGTTTTTGAGGGGCATTTTTGTATTTTTTTTGCAGAGAACCACATCCCAGAATTTGTCTGCAGCTCTCTGCGGGATCCACGGGCTCTCCAGCTCCTGGGAGAAGCCCAAGGGGGTTTTTGGGGCTTCCCCAGGTGGGCAGTAAGGCTTAGGGAATGATCAGGGCTGGAAACCACGAAATCATTTGCCATCACAGCTCTCAGCACCTCCCACTTGAACCTACAGCAACGAGGCCACACAGAACACCAGGACTGGGCACCAATTCCACTCCACAGCACAACCACAAAGAGGAACAGCCGAGTCACAGCCCTGCAGGGCTGCTCTGCCCCCATTCCCTCCCCCCCAGACTGGATCCATCTCATCTCCACGGAAATTCTGGGAATCCTCAAACACTTGTCTTCATCCCCCACCGTGGATCAGCAAGGCAAAACTCCAGACTTCCCCCAAAAATTTTCCTCTAGGTGACACACACGGCCTCGGTATCCTCTCCATTTTCACAATCAGCTACTAAAAAAAAAATGAGATCAAATCCTTTGGAAAACCAACTCTAAGGTCACGGGGATAGGTCCTTAATGAGAAGGGCGTATTAATAACGTCTTCATTTCAAAAAAAAAAAAAAATCCCAATAAAGTATTATTTGAATGAAATCAAAGTGGCAGCATCCAGGAGCAGAGCGTTACTAAAAGAAACAAGCACTGTCCATGACATCTCTCCTTTGCAGGGTAATTTTCCCAATCATCCTCTCTTCTCTCAGCACATTCAAACATTTTCCCTTTTATTATTATTATTATTTTTTTGGCATTGTCTTCAACAGAAATTCCTGATGCCACCTCTCTCAGAGCCTTTTCTTCCTGCTGCTCAGTCCTTAAGTACAGTCTCCCGCAGCAGGAGAAGTCTCCATGAAAGCACTGGCAAAGCCCTCATTAAACACCCTGTGGCTGTGACTTCATTGAGCTCCAACCCCTCCTGGATCTTCCTCCTCCTCCTCCTCCTCCAGGAAATCCCAGCTCCTTCACATCACCGTGCAACTCTTGGCTTTGTCCTTTCTCAAGTCCGTGGCCACTGTGGACAGTTCTGGCCTGCCAGGCATGTGTGAAATTCGCTTTGTGGCCCTCTGAGATTTGTTTCGTTTCACATTTTTGTTTGTTTTGTTCACACACGCCAGGGTGGCGACGTGAAAAATGTCTCTGACACTGTTTTCTGACTGTAAGGCTGAGCATTCGATGTACGTGGCTGCTCCAATCTGTTTGGCCATATTTGCACCCTGAGGGGAAAAAGGAACATGTGATCAATACCAAGTTGTGCAAAATCTTTCAGCGCTGTTTCCCTGGAAAAACCAAAGCTAATTTGGGAAAACAAACAGAGATTTGTTTGCAGGAGGAGTTAAACAAGTGTCCAAGCGTTATCTGCTGTGCTGATAAACACAAAGTGGGAGAGAAAAGCAGCTCAGTGACTGCAAACAACTGAGCCAGGCCGTTTTCAGCAGTTTCACCTTAACTTGAATATGGGGATTTTCTGGAAAATTTGGCAGCTGAAATCTCCAGAGAGAAATTCTGTGCCTAAAGGAATAAGCAGCTGGAAGAACCTTGCTCCAGGAAGAGGGCAAAGTTCTTAGGGAAATGTGTTCTGGGAGAGTTCTATCAACTTCCTGATAGGGAACAGGGGAAAAAAGGGAAAAAGAGTTAAATGAGGGGTTATAGGAGCCCTTCTTTAGTGATTTTAAGCAGTCAAAGCAGGGATATTTGTTCCAGCAGCACAAGGCAAACAACCCAACATGTGACAGATGACAATAGCCCAAGATCCCACGGTGGATTTTGCTACAGGAACACAATACAGCATTATGTGAAAAAACAGGAATTGTTCCAAGGAAATTTGATTTCTGAGGGGCGAATCTTTACTAAGTTACAAAAACCAACCACATCCTTGATTTTGCTACAGAACACAATGCAGCATTGTGTGAAAAAGCAGGAGTTGTTCCAAGGGAAATTTTGATTTCTGAGGGGTGAATCTTTACTTAAAGTTACAAAATCCAACAACATCCTTGAGGTGCCACTCCTCACACAGCCCCGTGCCAGCCTGATGGCACCAACCCCTGGGCATCCAGCCTCCTGTTTGCCCTGCAGTGATGCATCCCCTTATCAGTGGCAGGGGGAGAGGCTGATAAGGCAGCAGGAGCGTGTGGGAGCAGCCCTCCCCACAGTTAAACATCTCAGCTGAGCCTCGGAAATGTTTGCTGGGGTGGAGCTGCCTGAGCTGGGAGGCTGGAGCAGGGTGTCACCAGCCTGTCCTTCCCCTCCCAGGGCTTCCTGCTGGAGTGCAGAGCAATGGGAAAGCTCTGACTCCAATCCAGGGAATTTTAGAATTCCTGTGTTCTGCTGACTCCTGCTCCTCAGTGGTACAGGAATCCAGGGGAAAAAAAATCCACCTGCCAGCAGAGTTGTCATCACTCTCATGGAAAGACTTGATTTTATTGAAGTCCTGCCATTTTCCAGCCTAAACATCCTTAGTAAACCCACATCAGGAGCTGCTGCTTTGGAAAACGTGAGGGATAAACCTTCCCAAACTGGTTGCTGAAGACACTGAGGTGGCTCCTGGAGGTGCCACGGGGTGATTCAGCTGCCATGAATGATCACACACATGTGAGTAACAAAGGGAAGCTCAGCTCAGAGCAGTTTCCCTGCTCCCCACATCCTGCTCTCCCCCATCACCTGATTCCTTTCCCTTTTCTCTCCTCTAATGCCTGGCTCCAAACTTCTCCCTTCCCCAAGAGCAAAGAGCTCATCAAGAATTAAGATGCCTTCTGGTGTTGCTGCACCTTCAGAAGGAGAGACAAGAGGTTTTTTTAAGGAACTGGGGACAGATTATATTCCAACATAATGTCCTGATTCAAATGTGAAGTCTGCAGACAGCAATTTTACCAATTTGTCACTGAATAAACAGGATGTGTCACCTTTTAACTACACTAAAAAGCAGGAAGTTTTTTAACAACTCACCTAAAAAGCAACTAGCAACCAAAAAAGACAACAATTTATGACGTTTAAAGGAACGATTTCATGATGCGTTGTGGGGCTGCAGGATTTCCTTTAGCCCTAAACAGTTTTCAAACCCACCTCCCACCCACACCAGAGGTGCAAACCTGCCTTTGAGGCTGCACTGGTGTTATCCTGCGGGGGAAGGTGGTCACAGTGAGACAGAAAAGGGGTTTTTCCTTCCCTCCTGAAGGACAGAAAAGGAGGTGGCCCCTACCTGGTCGTAGGACACGGGGGTCTGCCTGTGGTTGGAGAGCTCCACCAGCGTGCTGACATCCGTGCGCAGGTCCGACTTGCAGCCCACCAGCAGCATCTTGGTGTTGGGGCAGAACTCCTGGATTTCCCCTTTCCACTGGAAAATTCCAAGTTGTTAACTGCTGTTAATCCCTGGCTGCTGGGAAATTCAGACTTTCTGGGCTGACAGGCACCGAACCCCAAAAAAACCGCTGCATTTGAACTGAGAAGGCTCCAAAAACTGATTAATAACGCTGAAATTATAGGGGTGTAGCTTGAATAGAAGTGTGTAATATCACGTAGTATTACTTGTATTGCAAAGTAATAACTAAGTTAAATCAAAATCAAACCCCTCAAAAAAACTTGTAAGTTTTGTATTACAAAACTTAAGAGTTTAAAGTTTTAGACTATAGTAATATATATTAAACAAGATAGAAAGTTTTAAGACAAAAGTTAGTCCTTCTTTATGAGTTTGGGTGGTATTGTGTAATTACATTAAAAAAATCCACATTACAAGCCATGAATAGTTAGTTATTAAGTTCAAAATAAAAATAATTTAGGTGTCATTTCCTAATTAGACAGTTTACCCTTAAAAAACCTTGTAAAAAAGAATTAGAACTCAGCTTTTAGTTTCTTAAAGTAAAATAATGTAGAACTCAGTTCGCAAAACTGTAATATAAATAAAATCCAATCAAAATCCAAACAAAAAAATCTCATCTCACGCATTTAATCCCAACCCTAACAAAAGAAAAAGATAAAACTCAACAGTTCATGGTAACAACTTTAATCAGTCCTGACGTCCCAGGCTGAAATATTTTTATGTAATGGTTGGATTTGCCTTCAAGGTAATTCTTTGAAGGCATCAGCTCCAGCAGAAACTTGGTCAAGGATGAAATCTCCCTATCTCACACACTCATGAATTCCAGTGGCTTATTAATCAGGAGGGAATGAGTTGAGATTATTTACCCACATGAGTTTGCAGAGCTGCTGTTTCTCACACCCAGCCCCAGCCAGTGCAGAAATGTGTCCCCACCTTCAGTTTTGTACAACCACAACCCCAGCAGGGCTAAATGTGGTTTTACTGCTGCATTCTCACCCCTAAAACTACACAAATCTGAACCAGCAAGGAGCCCCTCAGACAGAACTTGGGATAAATTCACTGGGTTTCACCTTTCTGCAAGGTTATGTTGGGAACTCAAAGCCAAAAACTTCACAGCATAATCCAAACATGATATTCCCCAAAATTTAAGGCTGTAATTTGGGTTAAAAAGCATTTTAAGAAAAATCTCTTGCAGGATTAAGTAACCAGCATTAACAGGGACAGAAAAACCACAGTTCTGGATGCTTTTTGATACAGACAGAGTAGTTTGGAAGTATTTTTTGTAGGCTATTCAGAGCATTGTAAAGCACTTTTATCCCAGTGAGACAAGAATCACTGGTCCAGCCTCAGAAAAAAGGAGGAACTTCAGGTCATTAAGGCCCAAACCCACAGTGAAGCTGAGTCATGGTCAGCAGCCAGGAGAGGAGCAGGACCACCCTGCAAACACAGAGCTGGGTTATGAAAATTCCATTTGGGCTGGTGGGAAGTCTGACCCAAGCTGGGATCAGGGATCTCACGGAGGGCTTGGGGCAGGGCTGCATTTCTGTGCCACTGCCAGCTCTGCTGGTGGCTTCCAGAGGCATTTGTCACTGCTCCTTCCAACGCCAGCCTCACAAATTACGTAAGGCCGTGGCAGAAATCCAAACACTCCATTTTTACCCAGCAAAGTTTCCCAATCTTGTTACAGGAACATGTGACATGCAATTTCTTACAGCACCTCACACCACCCTCAACAACTCCTTGCTGTCTCAAGGCTGAGGAATGAGAATCTCCTTCAGCTCCAAGCGTCCATTAGCAGAGTTTTTGTTTTCAATTAGCATCCACCCCCTTTCAAACAAACGACCTCAAATTAAAGCACCCTCCTGTCATCGCTCCATTTAAAGAAACAAAGTGGAAGTTTCCAGTGTAGGAACAGCACCCCTGCAGGGATTTCAAGATGAGCTTCTCCAGCAGAACTGTGCTCAGGGCTTGCTCAAACACTTGCCTTTTTTAGGACACTGTCCAGGGTTTCTGGGCGACTGATGTCAAAGCAGATCAGGACAGCATCAGAGTCGGGGTAGGAGAGCGGGCGGACGTTGTCGTAGTAAGGAGAGCCTGCAGGGAAAACACACAAAATCCTCATTAATTGCTGTTTTCATTTTCCTACAGCCATTCAGACAGCCTGGAGAGGCTTTCAGTGACAGCCCCCCACCGTGATCCATCACCCACCAAAAGCTCGGGATGCTCCCAGGGAGATGGAAAAGCCTCAGCCCAAGTTTAAAGCCCAGCAGGGGAACAAATCCTCCAACCCCAAAGGGCTTTTCCTACAGCAGATTTGAAATTCCTCAGTTCTGGATGCTCCCAAGGAGATGGTAACAGCCTCAGCCCAAGTTTAACCTGAAGGGGAACAAATCCTCCAACCCCAAAAGGCTTTTCCTACAGCAGATTTGAAATTCCTCAATTCTGGATGCTCCCAAGGAGATGGAAACAGCCTCAGCCCAAGTTTAAAGCCCAGCAGGGGAACAAATCCTCCAACCCCAAAGGGCTTTTCCTACAGCAGATTTCAAATTCCTCAGTTTTGATTTGTCTAACAGTTAATTTAAAACAAATAGCTCCAAGTGCAAAAAGCATCTTTAGTTGTCACATTGGCAGTGCTCAGAAGAAACTCTTGCTTCAAATTAAAGAACTTGTTGAAGGAACAGATTTCCAGCAGGGAAAAATCCCAATCCTGTAGGCAGGCATGCAAATTATTTGTCACAAAAAGCCTCATTAATCTGTAAACCAATAAATGTTTATGTTTAGCCCATAAACCAGATTTTTATCAACAAGATCAAAGCTAATTTAGTAATCTGGGGGAACAGATGTAGATACAGTACTGCTCTTTGTGCTTGTTTTACTTGCAGGCCTGTGAAGGGATTTTCTGGGGTTTTTTTTTAACAACAATCATGATGTGAAGAGTTAAAATCTGTCCAGAGTTAAAAACTGTATTTTAATCATCTAGTGAATCTGTCTAGGGAAAAAAAAAAATTAAAAAAAGAAAGAAAAAAATCTTTGTGTTTTCTACGAAGTTGTAGTCACTCAACCACCATTAGGTTTGGCTGAGCTTCACTTCCTGAGGAAAATATATTTCTTAATGCATTTAAAAGGGTATTGAAACCAGTTCAGTGGCCCAACAGGGCAAGGGCTTGGTCAACTTAAAAATTCATTTTCTCAGCCATCCTACATCCTTATTTCTGTAAATCCTAAAATACAGCAGACCCTAAACCACAGCCCGGAACACCCACCACAAGAACCAAGTTTCCAGGAGTTTGGGGGGTTATCAGCTCATTATCCCACGGATTTCCCAGCTCTCCAGAACTAATTGGCTGCAAGGTCTCTGGTTATTAACTGGATTAGAGGAATGGCTCAGGTTCTTCCCTGACAGACAGCTCAGGCTGTTGCACAGGGAATGGTGTGAAGGGCTCGCAGATGACTTCACTTGGAAAGCTTCTCCTGCACGGGAAAGGAGGCAAGAATCCCAGGAATGTTGTTTTTGAAATGAGGAATAACACATGGGGAGTGAAGCATTACCAAAGTAGGTAGCAGAAGGTAATTTGGTGAACGAGAGAAGGATTTAATTCGAATGCTCATCTCTGTAAATGATGTCAATCTGACAGAGCTGTCAGAAAAGGCTCTTCACACCCCACTTCAGCTGAATTCAGCACAAATGACACGTTGGGAACAAATCTCAGCGAGGTGACCCGGAGTTAACTACTCACTGCAGCTATCAATGAGCATTTTGCACTGCTAATTACACCCCACTATCTCCAGCACTGCTATTACAGCCTGTCCTGCAGCCCCAGGGATGGGTTACTTGCCCTGCAGCCCCAGGGCTGGGTAATTTGCCCTGGACACAGAGGAACTGCAGCAAAAGTGGCACCCAGAGCCACCTGGGTGACACGAAAGCACTGCCAAGTCTCCCTGAACTGCAGCAAGCAAGGGCAGGATTGAGGGAATCCTTAATGGGTGCTGGCTAGAAAGGAGTCTCAGCAAAGCCTCACCCAGAAACTCATTCCTCACACAAATAAATACCTCTGGGCTCACTCAGCAGCTCCAGGGATCCCATTTATGTCCAGGAGATGGATTTGTGCTCAGAGTCCCCACCTCCAGCCCCAAAACTCCTTCCCACCCCAGCAGCTGGAGCTGCTTTGCTTGGAAGGTTTTTCTTTCCCCCCCCTCCTTTGAATTTCTCCTATTTCAGATGCTGAGCTGGAATAAAAGCACTTTTAGCAAGCTTAGGAGGGATATTCCCCAGCTTTTCTGCAGGCTGGTGTGTGGCAGAACAAACAGAGCCCATTTCAACTGCTCGAGCTGCAGGATCCACAAAGGAAATTTCCTGCTCTCATTTATAACCAAACCTTTATTCCTGTGCAAATAAAGAGGGGCTGCAGCCCTCGCTGTGCAGGCCTATTCAAGCTGGCATTTTCATCCCTTTGCCCAGAGAAACCCTCAGAAGGCAGGAATGTCAGGAATGAGGCTGGCTCAAGTCTGAACAGACAACTCCAGCACAGCCCAGCCTGGCTGCTCCCTCTTTTTTTTTTTTCATGTTCCTTCGCAGTTTTGAAGCTGTGCCAACCCTCGAAAACAGAAGGAGAATGTGGAACTGGAGCCATGGTATTTGTGGGGAGAGAAAAAAGAAAAAAAAAAAAAAAAAAACTATTTGTGTTTGTGTTTCTTTTTTTGCGAAATAAAACATTTTTTGGCAAGGACAACATGGGTGGTTTTTTTCAGTTTTACCAAGGAGTTGCTGATAAGGCTGTAGTTCGTTTTTCGTTGTGCTGGACATTTATTCCAGCTGCAATCCTTTTTTAAAATTTTGTCAGCTTTAATCATTTCAGCCAAAAATACTCGCAACATTAAGGATGGTCTGCTTTTGAAGCTTTATGTTTCATGCAGAGTTCCAACAGAAATTCAGCTTTCAGACTAAATAAAACCCCTCCCCAGCAATATGGTTGGGTTTGGTTTAGAGGGGATGCCAAACTTAACTTTAAATATTGCCATCTTAATAAAGAACGGAATGACATCATTAAAAGCTGAAGAATATTTAATTTTTGGGTGGTTTAGCAGCACTTGAAGGCGCTGGATCAGTGTTTGGCTGGAAGATGCAAAGGCACCAGGAGGGTTCAGTGACAGGCAAGACTTTCTTATTTCCACAGCAGCAAGCAGCCACCAGGAATTAGGCTTTGGAGCCTTTTGGAGCCCAGTCAAGTGAAAGAACAACAGATGAACAGCAGCATTCTCACTCCCAAAGCCTTGGGCTCACTAATTATCACAGCAAACACTGCCTGCTCCAAGGAGCTGATTCACTGCTGATGGTTTTACTCCTTAAAAACAAAAAGAAAACCCAAAAAAAACCAACAAAACCAAAATAGACCTGGCATGGCTGAGATGGATTTCCAGTGCAGCTTATCACCAAGCAAGGATATATTAAAATATTCAATTTTCTGTAGGATCACACCTCCGAGAGAAAACTTTGGGAGGGCACTTGGCATTCCCAGGTATCAATTCTAATGAATTCCCTTGTAAAAGTAGTAAGAAAACCCTGCTAAAATGGGCACCTAAAACCAGAAAATCACAGAATTTAACAAGAATTTTCTGGGAGGCAAAGACAGCAATTGGATTTTTCCTTTGCCATCATTACTGCCAGGGAATTTGGGGAATTAGCAACTTTAATTCCTCCAAGTTTCAGCTTTCTCCTGAAAGGTTTCAGCACAAAACTTTCCAATTATTTCTGTTTGTCTATGGACACTGAGTACATGGTATACAGTCAAAAATCACAGCAAAACCAACTTGGCTCTCAGCTCCAAGGCCCTTCTGGATTTAATTACTTGCTAATCCCCAGCAGTTGTAAGTATTTCTGGCCCTGTTGAGAATTATTTTATTGGAGTAGCCACGGTTCAAGCAATAAAGAAACCCCCTAAAACACATTTTAGGGAGACACAGGTATGTACACCTAATTAATGGTATTTCTAAGCCACAGCTGCTGTTGTCCTAGCAAGAAATATAAATATCAAAGAAGCCAAGATAAACTTGATAAATGCAGATTAGATGGTGGATAAAGGCAACTAATACAGATTTTTTTTTCCTTCACAGTGGCCCTGAAAGTACAAGATGAAGCTTTTAACCTGGAAAAACTTTTAATATTCCACCGCACACAAGGAGCAGAGCTCCTAAGCAGCTCAAGCCTGCCACATGTTACCACAGAGCAGAGTAATTTATGGTGTAGTGAGATTGCAACCAGACATTCCTGCTTTGAGAGAGGGCTGCTAGTCCCAAACCCCATTGAAATTCTACTTGGCAAGTGCCTCCCTTAATGCTGTGGCTAATTTAAATCCTTCTAATGACTTGCAGAACTAGACAGCACCAGCAAACATCTGAATAATGAATCCTCCCGTTCCATTCCACTCTTACTTGTCCCATATTCCTATGGGCAAATCCAAGATGCAACAACAACTCCCCATTGCATTTTATATTTTCTAGCAGCTGCATGACACCAAGAAGTTCTCTGGTAAAAAAACCATTATTGTCGTTGGTGCATAAAGAATTATAAACCAAAACTGTGGCCTGTTTTCACCCTCACACAATTAATTTAATCAATGGCCACAGCTTTTCTGATTTTCCCGGTGAACAAAAAAGGAGTTGGAGGTGGCAGCACATCCTTCCAAAGGATTCACTGCAAATCCTGATTATCAATTTTAATTCAAGGGACTAATTGGCAAGGCTGTTAAAAGTTCCCAGTTAAAAAAGAGTTAAAGATTAATACAAAATACTGATTGAGTCATCTTGGGAGCATCTGCAGCATTTTGCAAAAAAACTCAATTAAACAGCATCTTTCCCCCCCTCCCAAGAGATATTCAAGCACCACAAAACCTGCAGCCATCACCTCCCCCGTGTTGCAATGATCAGCCATCTTTTGAAGTTAATTAGATTTAGTCCTGCTTTAAAAATGCCATTCAGACATCTCTTCTAACTCAGTAGAAGAGCAGGACAAAGACTTGTAAAAATTAAATTACCAAGACTTTCAGATAAGGGTAAAACACTCCCTAATCTTCTGCTGTCTCTTATCTGCTGATGAGATTTTGCTCTGCGTTAATGGGCTTGGGCAGAGTTGGGTTTTTGCACTGGGTGAGAAGGGATGCTGTTTTCAGGGAGCCAGAATTCCTGATCCAGAGTCCCACAGCCACAGGATCCACTCAGTAACACTCTGTAAAACCAGGCACTGGGTCCTTCAAGTATTTCCTCTTCACTCCAGGATGTCAGGCAAATCACCCACTTGGTCCCAAGCTTCTGACTCAAGCACATTTTCTCTGAGTTCCAGGACAGAGGACAAAGGCTGGCAGGTGTTTTTTCTTCCACTGCTTTTGTCTTTTGAAGTGCTAGGGAATATTTCATTCCATGGGTGTCTCCAGCCTTTGACAAACAAATTCCAAACCTTCCCACGTCCAGCCCGCGTGCGTGTTGTATGTTAATAAAGATAACATTTTCCAAAATAACTAATAATTTTTAATAAGCCCTTGCTCCATAGTTCCAGCCAGCTTAGTAATCAGCATGAAAGCTCCAACCAGACATACTCCAGAAATCTGCAAGTCTCACTTGGCATAAGATGAAGAAAAAAAAAATCAGTTCAGAGCAAAGCTGATACTGGTTGTGGGCAGAGGCTGCCTTTTCCCAGTAATCGTGTTGCAAGAATTTGGAATCATTTCCTCAACAGCAAGAGGGAAGCCAACCCGCCGCCTAAACTCCTCTTTTAAACAGGGATTAACATTTTCATTCCTGGTAAAAGAGCTGCTGTCGCACTGAGGAGGAACTGCCGGGTCCAAATTCAGCATTAACGAGCCATCTACACAGAGACAGAGAGGGACTGCGTGTTCTGCCAAGTTCCTGCAGGTTTTTTTGCCAATCAGCTCTGCAGATGATGTTGATCCACACCTCTGGTAATGGTTCCTGGTTGTCATTCCCCCCTGGACATCCTCAGCTCTCCACAGGCAGAGCCACCCTGGCTCCCCACGCTCCTCTCCAGCACTGAGGCAGCAATTCTGGGGTGCTCCCTCACCCCCCTGGGCTCTAAGTGCTGCCCAATTATCCAAATTATCAACGACAGACGGATCTAGAGGAGCTCCTGTCTCAACATGTGAGCAGAGCCAGCCAAACACCAAAGCCCTCAACCTTGGAGGCGTCTGAGCCGGTTTCTTCCAGGTAAAACTGGAAGAATGAAGAGCCTGATGGGGGAAAGGATGGTTCCCTTTGCATCCCAGAGATTCAGAGATAAATTCTACAGCTTTTCCCTAAAAGCCGTTCCAGGCCTTAGAGACTCTCCGGAACACCGGGAAGAAAAGTGCCGCGTTTTGTAAAAAACCAAGGAGGCATTAAGGAGCTCCAAAGCGAGCTGAAATAATTCACCATCAGCACATAAACACCTTTTCCCTCTCCTACGAGGCAAAGCGGGGCTTGCAGGCAGCAGAGGAGCCGAGGTACCCCCGGATCTCCCCAAGAAGCTCCTTCCAGCCAGGCAGGTGAGAACGCATTCCCCTGCAATGCTGACAAACCGCTTCCCGGAGCCTTGCCCACACCCTCAAACCAAGCAGATCGTGCAAGGACAGCTGAGATTTTTGTCGAAAAGCTCTCGGAAGCAGCCGCACGCCAGGACCGCCGCTCCTCCCGAGATCCCCCCACCACCGAGTCCCCGGGATGCGAACGGGAGCGCTCACCCGAGGTGTCCCAGAGGCTGAGCTCGATGCGCTGCGTGTCGATCTCGAAGCTGGCCGTGTAGTTCTCGAACACGGTGGGGACGTAGCTCTGCCGGGAGAAGCGCACCGTCAAACCCGCAACCATCGCCGCCACCCCGGCTCC